TTGGTCTTGAATAATACTTTACGCAATCTTAACAATCTTAATATGCAAAATGGTTCTTCAAATTCAAGAAGAACTTCTCAAAGTACTGCTTCATTTCATCAACGTGTAGGATCAAATGGAACTCCAATTATGACTCCAACTTCACAACATTTTTATCCAAGACAACATCAAAAGTCTCTTGTATTGTTAACTAGACATTTGTACCATATAGTTTATCAAATTATATTACTTTTATTTGCAATATTTATAGCAAATTCATTGTATACATCAAAACTTGTAGACAAAATTTTTTTTTATTTGTTTTTAATTTTTATGTTTATTATATATTTATGTTGGATTTTATTGGCTTGGGCAGGATATCCAAAGGGTAAAAACAGTTTATTAGTAGCAATAATGACAAAATTTGGTGGTCATGGTGACGTAAATGAACCATCAAATGACGTAAATGGTATTAATAATGATGAATATAGTCAAGCTAGTGGAAGTGAATTTGGTGGTACTGATAGTAGATTTAATAGTATAAATAATAGGGCAAATATGCATGATGATGAAATGAGAATGAGTGAAGCAGATAAACAAGCTGAACTTGAACAAGAAATTACTAACAGAGAAGTCGTTGTTATGACAATACCTAAAAGAAGATTAACGGTTGTTAATGCTTGAATGATATATATATATATATATATATATATATATACATTTTTTCTCTTTACGTATAATGCTTAATTATTATTTATCGTTAGATTTACTTTTAAAAAAATTTTGTTTTTTTCTTTATTGAGGGGTTTTTTGTTTAAAAGTAATATTAATATAGTAGCAATAAGTTTTCTTTTTTTTTTGATTCATATTCCGAAAGGAAAAAAAATAATAATATATAATAACAAATTGTAACAAAAAACTTGTATTTTATATCTGGAAAAAAAAAAATTGTTTAAAGAACGCGTTATTGTTTATTACATTTTTTTACATATCAGTATAATTTTTTTTTCTAAGATTTTTAATACATATTTCATATCATGATGTATATATTTAATTATCCAATTATTTCAATTATTTCAATTTAAATAATTTAAATTTATATATTTATATCACAATTACAGAATCAGAAAACAATTACAAATATATGTATTGTATGTATGTAGAAATTTGATAATCACATGATTTCATTATTATTAATTAAATTTTATCACGTGCTAAAGAATATTTCGAATTTCTATCACTCTCACTTTGTTCTTTCTATAAAAGGTTGCGCAAAATTATCATAATAAAGACAATATTTTCAACAAATTAGCAATGGTTAAAGTAAAGACTCAAGGACGTGAAGCGTTTCGGTGAGCATTCGCATTCGACTTAGTTTCATATTAGCACATACACATACGTCTCCCCCCCTTCGTACAACTGAAAATTATGGTTGTAAAAAAATGATCTTGAATACCTTATTTTTTTCAGACATACTCCCCCTATAACAAAGTTTTTTCCTCGAGTTTCCAACTTAAATAAAAGGTAGCATTCGACATAAAATATTCAAGAACAATAATATTGGTTTACTTATGATTTTTTTTCCCCCTTCCTTTGTTTGTATTGTTTAGTAACACGATTGAAGACTCGAGGACTGAAAGTTTTACTTCGGTAGACGATTCGGACGACGATAAATTGCAAAATATTCCTGATGTAAGTGACGTATGTGAACTCTTATATTTTAATTATATTTTAATTATTTTAATTATGATTTATTAATAAAAATTCTTCATTGTGAAAAGGTTATTGAAGATGATGAGGATGATGATCTTTTATCATCAACCGATCTTGAATTGGCTTTTTCAGAAAAATTGTCAAGCAAATTATTTGAGAGAAGTGAAAGGTTCATCATTGTGATTATTTTTATATAAATGTATAAATGAATTATAAATATTATAAACCAATTTTTTTTTTAATACTAAATTTTCTTTTTTCTTTAGTTCTCAGAGTGACGAACCTACATTACGTCGAAGTACGCGTTCTAGAAAACAAGTTTCTTTTCAACAAATGTTACCAACCGCTGAAGCTATTCCGTTACGTGGTGAAATTCCTTGTGTGAATAGTTCTACTTCAACAAAATCAAATATTTCCGCAACGAAATATCAATTTTCATTATCTTCTCTTCTTCGAGAAAAGAAGCATCGAAATAAAGTTGGCTATAATATTCGTGTTGCAGAATCGGCAATCAATGGAGATGTTAATATCTTTTTAATAATTATCCATTGTTGGATTGGTTTTTTTTTTATTATATTTTATATAATAATCTAATGTTAAACTATTCATTATTATTATTGTTATTATTATTTAAATTGGTTACTTTAGTCTCTTTGTGAATTAGATGATCCATTTGATGTCTATGATCGTACAGAGATTTCTGCTGCAGTATTAAACGAAGATATAAAACGTGAACATTTGCAACAGGTTTGATTATCTAGTTTACTGATAATTTGGAATCCGAATCTGTTGATTTGGGAATTTTCATAATAAGTGACTTAATTAATTCTTTTAATTAATTTAGATTTTTAAAGAAGATGAAAGTGATGATTTAGACCAACAAATGGAATTTTTCATTGATAATAATACAGTAAAGTTAATTATAAATCTTCATTAATAATCCGATAATTTAAATATTGATATTTACACAATGTCACGTGCTTAACAGGAGTTGCCAAGTCCTGCTTTGCAGACTACCATGCAAGCTTTGGAAGATCCTGCATTTGCACTGATAGCCGGTTCATCTTCTGGTATTTAGATAAAATAGGGGTTGCCTAAGGCACGATACAGTCGCGTGACTAAGAGCCAATCAAATATATCTAAATATATATTCGGTCAAATTTTAATAATTTACATGGCTGTATCTTACTTTAGCAATTCCCTCGAAATAATTGTCTCATTATTATTATAAGATAGCAAAATTTTAACATTCGTAGTTTAACTTGGTTGTTTAGACGATGAAAAGTTAAAATATATCCTATGTCAAAATTGGATTCCACAGCAATATGAACTTGGAATGAAATTACCACCTGAAACCATTTCGTGGCTATTAGAATTAAGTAAATATCACGTGCGAATTTTTTAAAATTAATGTTAAATATCTCGATTAAGAAAGGGTACGATTTTTTAATTTAGTATGCTATGAAGAGGATACAATTATAATAGAAGCTGCTTCCCATACTTTGACACGTCTCGCTGAAATTAGTGTATTTATTAAAATTTTCTTTTTTTTTATATTCTAACAAAATTTGATTATACATTTATATCTTAAATCAGAAATATATATGTAATCTTTCAAGGGCCGGTACAGTATAAATACGACTGTTGAACCTACCAGCGTACCGTTTTCATCAATATATCAAATATTATCCGCATTTGGCGCACCATCACAAATGTTAGGATATCAATGTTTTTTGGAGGAACAAGCAAAGTCGTCTTTGCCATTTGGTATTGTGCATTGTGTGAGCATTTTAAAGTCATTTTTGTTAATTTAACTGTTAATTGAAATTTTCTATATATTTTTAAATATTTTAGAGCCATCATCATCCAAATTTCCTTATATTGATAATTTACAAGTTCTTTTGAAAACGATTGTACCCTTAATTAAAAACAGGTTAGCACAAGCTTAATTTGGAAATATGGAATTAATTTGTACAAATAATTAACAAATTATTAACAAATTATTAATTGATTATTAATTGATTATAATGTTTCTCTGTATTTAACATAGATTATTATCATTCTCAGATTATGAAGAAATAAGAAGAGCGATATATGTTGTCCTTCGTATGTCTTTGGATAGGCGCATCTCTTTGATATCTAGTTACATTGAAAGAACAGTTGATTCGTTTTTAGATCTTTTCAAAGATGATGATTGGAGTTCCCAAGTATGAATCATAATATAAATTCATGTAATTAAATGATCTATTCAATAGATAATAATTGTATAATAATTGTATAATTAGGCAAAACTCATTTGTGAAGATATTGTTTCAGCATGTGGTACAATAGCAAAATTTAATGCTGTTACGTTAGACAATTTACCCATTTCAATTCGTGGTCGTTTATTACGAAGACTTTTGGCATTTAAATCTCTCTTCACATTAAGTTCAAAAACTTGGGATTTAAATACGGTTAGACTTTTGTTATGTACAAGCTTTATCATTTTGTATCCTTTTAATTTTTTTTTTAGCTAAATTGATTTTACTTAATGTAGATCGATATAACAAAACCATTATCATTAGAACCACTTTTATCGTTCTTTAACGGTGAAGAGCCGATGTTTAAAATTCAAATTAATACAAACTATAATGAGTTGTACTATAAAGTATTATTGCTTAATTTTGCTATTGATGACGAAAAACAGATGACATCTGAAAAGGTATCAGTTTTTATTAACAATGGTAAAAAAATTTAATTTTAATTTTAATGATTATTATTATTTATTGTTATTTAAGAATATTGTTGAAGAGATTATACAAAAATTAAAATATCTACACGGAAAAATAG